CGCGGTCACCGCGCTAATACAGAAGGCTTGGAGCGCGCTATTTTACGACCCGGAGCCAGATTCAAGCCAAAAAATACCCCACACTTAAACACCCGCAACTTCCTTAAGAGTAAAGCTTTCGGAGAGGGGAAAGCAGGAATGAGGGGAACTATGTTGGCACTTGTTACCTGATTTTGAGCGATTTCAAAAAATATCCTTTTAAGAAATTTTCTCCGTTGTGATCCTCTTGTGATCATGGGGGGTCGCTTTCCAGGAAGGCCTTCATTTTATCCCTAGGCCTGCTATTCGAAAAATCCCCGTTGTGATCACAGCGTGATCACTGCCCCACGACACGAAAAATCAACCCCTCCGACGCCATAAAACCTCCAGTTGGCTTAAAGACTTTGGTATGCTTCTAAAACGCATGTTTTTGCCAAGGATATCAGGAAATTTCATTGGGCGCCAATTGGCATCACCTCTGCAATGCGCCATGCATAGCGCTTTCACGCAGAGCTATTGGGAAGGTGCAACTTCTAGAAAGGGCTTCCTCCGTGCAAGTAGATGTGCTTCTGCGATAGAAAGGTCCGGAAGTGTATTTCCATCTGTTTATTAATTCATGGCGGATGTTCACTGGCGCGGTGGTGGTGTAGTGACAAGTGGCGCGCTTACCACATGCGCGATGCCGGGTTCAAATCCCGGGTCGACTCCCGCCCAGGCCAACCAAGCCTTCTACCCTCCGGGGACGGTGAATTGGTACCAGATTCGTCTGGGAGGATAAAACACTGACTTGTACATCGGCTGGCCACCGCAAGTCATTGTATAGGCCACATCGCATTCAATAAGCCACTACGATTCTGAATGGAAGTAGAATGCGTGCCGCATCCCACAAAGGGGTTGATCAACGGCGGAGACTTTATCCTTTATTTTTTTATTAATTCATGACGTCGTTGTGGGCGGCCATCGTATTTCCTGTCATCGCCCGTTCCCACTTCTGCGCTGGCAGGTTGCTTCTGTCTTGTGTGGGTCTCTTCAGGGGTTCTTCACATGGATAAGTCTTTCATCATTGAAGCTGAACGACATCTGGGTATCGCTGCACCCTCACTTCAGAAAGGTCCCCGCGCTTACGACCCCCCTCCCTCGAGGTCAAATACGACCCCCCCTTGTGATGATCACAACGATGGCGTGCCCTTTTACAGGTCGACGGATGGTATGTACATTTGGTAGCCTGATGTGCGCTTCGCGCTTCCGTTTGTTGAGCATCACATCCTGTATTCGTCCTAGCTTCCAGGAGTTACGCGAAAGAAGTGGATCAGAAATGAATACCACGGTACCTCGTGTTGGTTTTCTTTGGGTTCCGGTTTTGCCATTGGTCACCAATTTGTGTCTTTCTCAAAGGCTTGTGAGATACTGGTTCCTCCATATTCTCCTTGAGAGTTTCTGTGTTTTTGTGACTCTTTTAGAGGGCATTTCCTGCTTGTTGGCGTTCTTAGCTGTGATCTGTCGTCAAGAGGGAGATAGTCCTCATTATCCCTTTTGGCTCCACAAGCTCCAAAGAGAAATGTGATGAGAATGTCGCGCTCTGGGTCGCAGAACGGGGTTTCTCGAAGTTCTCCTCTTGGTATGTGACAGGTCTTGTGTTTAGCTTCCTTCTTCTCAATTAGGATGGTTCCTAGATCCGACTTCTTCAAGGCTAATTTCCTCATGACTTTGTAGAGAGAGTGTTTCACGGATTTGATCAGACGTTTGTAGAATGCTTCTTGCCATGGAGCGGACGGTGTGGTCGTTTTCTATTCTACTCCCATTTAGGCTAATTAGTTGGTGAATGAGATATCTTGTGAGGCGCAGCGCACTGCATCAGATAGACTCTGCTCGGCTATGGAAATTTGGCGCGTTGTTTGACGTTATTGTTGCTGGAATCCCTCACCATGCGAAAAATCATCGTAATGCATTGAGAAGATTTGTAGTGGTCACATCTGAGACCATTTCCAGGGGAAGGAGGCGAGTTGTACATGTACAGATTATTCCATAGACTTGAACTATTTCTTCGTATTCCTTCGTAGAGGATGGTCCGAAGTAGTCGATTCCCATGTGCTCGAATGGATCCTGTCTTCTGAACGCGTCGTTTAGGAAGTTCATCCATCTCGGGGTACTTGTATGGAAGTTTGTTCATTTTCTGGCAAGGAACACATCTTCTTATGATTTGTTCGGCTAACTGGCAAAGCTTCGGTATCCAAAAATAGTTTGTTACGTGTGCTATTGTGTGAACAATGAAGTGGTGTATGAGCATGCTGCACGATTATCCTCGCAAGTTCGCTTTTCTTGGCTACAAAAAGAGGTTGGCGTGATTCGAAAGCGAGCTCTTAAACCAGATCGG